CCTTACAAAACATATAAAAGGGATAGAGCAAATACACATTTAGGGCCGACTACACTGGGTCTTATCTATAGAAGGCATTTGGTTTTTTCGTTCCTGCTTTTTGAGACAGGGCTCATTATGTAGTTCAGTCTGGCCTTGAACTCACTATGTAGCCCAGACTGGCCTCCAAACTTGAGGTGCTCTTCCTGCCTCAGTCTCCAAGAGCTGGGATCACAGGCATGTGCCGCCACCTCACCTGACACACAGCAGGCATTATCATCAACCCACAGAAAGTTTGGGGAGATCTAAGTGGATTAAAAAACCTAAGCCTTCCTAGGGGAAAATCTTACTGCTCAATTTAATTTTTAAGCTCTACTTAAGCACTTGCCTAGTGCTGTGTTTACAATATTCACTACATACTTACTGAGTGGATCTTCTAATTCAGGGTAGTATACAAGATTCACATACAAGACTGCGTTTGGACACTTTTGTTCCCTGAACACCGTAAGTTTCTTCTTCCTCCTTCATCTTCTCTCATTCCTCTTCCTTGGATTTTCTTAAGCATCCTTTGGTTTACAAAAACAATTACCACTATACCTTTGGTTGTTTTTTTGTTTTTGTTTTTGTACGAGACAGGGTCTTACTAAGTATTTCAGGCTGGCCTTGAGCTCACTGTGCAGCCCAGGCTGGCCTCAAACTCTTGATGATCCTCCTGCGTCAGCCTCCTGAGTGCTGGGATTACAGGCGTGCACCACCACACTACACCTTTGGATGTTCTTAAACCTAGTGTCTTGAGCTCTTTCAGAAAAAGGCAGCTGCTACCTAAGAAGCCACCAAAAAGGCAAGCACATAAACAAACCTATGGAAAAGACTGCAAACATCTTTGATGCACATATTCCTCTGAAGTCACAGCTTCCTAAATCCTAAAAAAGCCTGGACCATCCAGAGAGAAGCCTCCAGGGAAAACATAGGGACACTTCTGACACAGTGCCACAGAAACCAAAGCTGAAACACCAGGAGCAGCACTGGTTGCAGAGACCCCCTCGGTGCTGGCTTTGGCAGCAAACCTGACACCTTTATCAGTAGAGGTAGCTTTGAAGTAGCTGGCAGTCTTCCATCCCCTACTGAAATAAGCTCAGCTTCACATCCTATTCTTTTCTTCAAAGACGATCTCTTTATCAGATATGAGAGAAGAGAGCTCAATTAATCAGAACAGATTTTTGCAACCAAAAGAATAAAGTGGGCAACTGGAACAGCTGCCTATAAAGCACTGTACAATGCTGCTGGTTACCGTGTTACAATGTGGAGGAAATTCAGTCAATGACAGATACTGAGTTTGGTAGGGGAGGTGGGTAAAAATGGAAAGGTAAATTGCTCATCTACTCCTCCCTAAAGATATCTCCATGTTAAACCTTTCTCAAGGGTACAGAACACAGGGAAACCTTTGGGAAACCTTTCTCCATGTTGTACAGTCCACCCTTGGCATCTGTGGGGGTATTGTTACCGAACCCTGGAGGATACCCAAATCCAAGGGTGCTCAAGTCCCATACATGAAATGGCAACATTTTGCATACAGCCTTTGCATATCCTCCTGTATACTTTAAATCATCTTTAGATCACTTATACTACCTAATACAAAATAAGTGCAAAATAATACAAAATAAAAATTTAATACAAAATAGTTGTTATGCTTCGTTGTTTAGAGAATAATGATGAGAAAGCAGTCTAAATATGTACAGTACGCAGATGCAATTTTTTTACAAATAGTTTTGATCTGCACTTGCTTGAATCCACAATGTGGAACCTGTGGATATGGAGGCCTGACTGTACTTGCCAGAGACGTACGGGCATTGTGGGTTGGGTTTTCTCTTCCTATTTGTGACAGTAACACCTTATAGCATCCCCATACTCTCTCTGAACATATGCCAAGCAGCTGGACTCAGAGGCTCCAGAGGCAATCCTATCCCAGTCCAAAGGGAATAAACAGCTAGGCAGCAGACACTGCCTTTAGTCTAAGATCTCCTTTATCCTCTTTTACTGCCAGCCCCATTTCCTTGGTGCCAAGGAAATCTGACTGGTCACAGCAGTTCTCCTGTGATGGATGTACCAATGGCATAATGTTTAACATCTGAGTGTTCTGGAGAAAAGTCTTAATTGAGCTTTTTAACCCCTTCCTCAGCACTCTTCTTGCATTCCCCACTTCCTTCAGTGTGAAGGAAACCAAATCTACCTTTCGTCATCCTCCAGGCACAATAGGTTGCCTAGAGAGAGTGGCCAAGCTGCTCCAACAGCGGAGGGGCAAGCATGGCACACAGGTCCTCTATGTCCCTCACTTGCCCCAAGACGGAAAGCAGGGTATCTGCGGCGTGGTTCTCAACCTTGGCTGTACGCAGCAATCCCCCAGGCCTTATTGCTGAGACTTTGATTCAGCTGTTCTGAGGTGGGTTCCTGGTATGAGTGTTTTTATTATCTTTTAAATCACCTTTACTGAAGCATAATTTACTGAGAATAAAATGTACACATTTTTAGTGTACAGTACAGTAAGTTTTGACAAATGCACACCCACCCTCAAGGTTACATAACTTTGTCATAAACTGTTAAGTTCCCTTATGTCCCTTTGCAGTCAACCCTTCACCCATCCCTACCCTGGGTCCAAGGCAAGCACTGATCTGCTTTCTGTCACTAAAGATTTATTTATCTTTTCTAAAGTTCTGTATAAATGGTAACATACAGAATGTACTCATTTACGCTCCATTTGGCTCCTTTTTATCAGCATAATGCTTTTCTGAGCTCATTTACATTATATCTATCAGCATTTTGCCTCTTTTTGTTGCTGAGTAGTATATACGGATGCACCACAATATGTTCTTCCATTCATCCGCTGATGGGCATTTGGGTTGTTTCCAGTCTGGGCTATTATGAGTAAAGTATTAGCTTCCTATGGCAGCTGTAACAAATTACTGTGAACTTGGTGGCTTAAAATAACGCATATCTGCTCTCTTATACTTGTGGAGGTCAGAACTCCAAAAGTAATTTCACTGGGCAGAAACCAAGGTGCCAGCAGGGCTGCCTCTGCTCAGGAGGCTCTGGGGGAAGAGCATTTTTCCCTTTTCTAGCACCTACACCTGCCGCATGGCTCCTTCCTCACACAAAGACCATGGCAGACATTTTCTCTCTGTAACTCTGGTCCTGTCCAGGGGCCTTCCTTCCTTTTATCTGTCATCTGCCTCAAAGGGGAACTGTGACTGCATTTAGGCCCATATGGGTAATCAGACATAACATCCCATCACCAGAACCTGCAGGTGTCATGTGGATAAGGTAACACTCAGGCTCCAAGGACTAAAGCACGGACACCTTTTGGGAGGGGTAGGCATTTTCTGTCTATCACAGAAGCTATTCTGAATATCCAGGTACAGGTCTTTGTGTAGATATATCCTTTTGTTTCTCTTGGGGAAATGCCTAGAAATACCTGGAACTGCTAGGTCTGATGGTAAGTACATATCTAACTTCATAAGACCCTGACTGTTTCCCAAACTGGTTGTCCTGTCTCACATTCTCATCAATAATTTTGTGCGTGCGTGTGTGTGTGTGTGTGTGTGTGTGTGTGTGTGTGTGTGTGTTACTGGGGATTGAACCCAAGGTGTGCTGAGCTATAGTCCCAGGCCTCTTAAAATTTTATTTTTTGACAGGGTCTTGGTAAACTGCTGGCCAGCCTTGAACTTTCGATTCTTCTGCCTCAACCTCCAGAGTAGCTGGCTGGGATTATAGCTGTGTGCCCCTACATCTGGCCCATCCTTGCCAACACTTGGTATTGTCAGGAGTTTTAATTTTACCATCTAGCAAATGTGTGGTTTATTGCCTTATTTTTTAAAAAAAATTTTTTCCTGGTGCTGGTTATAGAACCCAGGGCTCACGCATGATACCCAAGCACTTTGCCACTGAGCCGCGTCCCCAAGCCTTCCTCATTGTTTTAATTCCCACTGCCCTGATAATTAATGACACTGAATATCTTTTCATGTGCTCACTGGCCATTTACATATCTTTATTACCGAAATGCTTTCTAAACTGTTTTGCTTATTCTTAAACATCTGGATAGCATGATACACTATTAGTGAGTTCTAAGAGTCCTTTATTCTCTATTTGAATGTGGCCCCAAAGTTCATGTGTTGGAAACTCAGGCCTCAATGACACAGTGTTGGGGGGCGGGGCAGGGGGGACCTTTCAGAGGTGATTAGGTGACTGGATTAATGCCACCACCATGGGCGTGGTCTAGGTGCTCAGTATGGCTCCCGATCAAAGGATGAGCTTGGCTCATGCACCTGGACTCTCTGTGTCTCTCCCCTCTCTCTGCGGACCCTGCCTCCCTTCTACTGTGTTATGATCCAGCAAGAAGGCCCTTGCTGACGTGAGCCCCTCGACCTTGGACTTCTCAGTCGCCAAAACTGTTAACAAATAAACCTTCAGGAGCCAAATTAAACCTTCCTTCCTTAAAGAAAAAAAAAAGATATAAATCTTCATTCTTTATAAATAAGTTTCAGCCATTCTGTTATAGAAACACAAAATGGATGGAGACATATGTAGTGCAAATACTTTCTCGAAGTCTATGGCTTGTTTTTCATTTTCTTAATGTCTTTCCAAGAAAAAGTTCCCAATTGGATGAAGTCTCATTATCTTTTTTTTCCCTTTTATAATCCATGCTTTTTATATCCTAAGAAATCTTTGTTTATTCAAGGTCACAAAGATTTTTTTAAACTCTCCAAGTAACTTTCGTGGATGGGCAAAGTTGACAGTACTGGTTTATGGGGAACCTGGCCTTGCTTTTTCACTTTAACCTGAGTTTCTGCCAGAGAAACTTAATGCTTGAGGTAAAGCAGGAATACAGTGAACTGCAGTACTGTAAAAGCAAGGATGCAACTGAGAGCCTTGCGACTGTCTGGACTGACCAGCCTCCAAGCTTAACTGTGAGCGGCTGTCAAGTGCTAAAACAATGAGTTTAAGGCAGATGCACCTTCAGTGTGTTCCAGCTAAGTGAAAGGAGGAAGAGAGGAAAAGACTGTTCCCTCCCCTGTGGGAAGCAGCACACCCAAGTTTTCACTTTAACCTGATTAAGTGGGGCAAATTACTTCTATTTGGGGTGTGATTCTTTCAGAACACACCTCTCACAGAGACTACACAGATACGACAGTCAGACTTGGCAGTGTTTGGTCACCGTTTTTGAAGCCACCACATTAAACAAATGAAGGTGGCAGCAATAATATTTGCCCAAACCTTGGTTCCAACAGGGTCAGACAGACTGAGCTTTCATTACATGAAAGGAAAAGGTAGGAACACCGAATGGGCTCTATTTTCCCTGGACTCCTAGACAAAGTGGATCTGTCTCTATCTAGGCTGTGGCCAGGAGGCCACTTTCTCCAGATGTTATATTTAGCTAAAGGAATCTCCAACGCGGCCTCATGCAAAATGTGAAGTATGTCCCAGCAGGCGTAACCACAAACCAGAGGGCCAGCAGGGGCACCCCTGAAGGGAGTTAGGCAGCACAAAGGGGTTGACTGTGCAGCCACCCTGACATCCCCAAATGAGCTGAATTAGCTGTGAGCCAGATTTTTGGCCAGTTCTCACATTTAATGAGTCTTTGTTTCCCTCTTACTAGAGATTCTGACCCTGGGGAGAAAAATATGCTGCCTATTTCAAGCCAACTCCCAGCTGATTGCTCAGCACCAGGTAAGAGAGCAATCCAACGCTGATGTTTAGCACTTCCACAACTTTTGAAGTCAGGGGCAAAAGAAAAGGTTAGGTTAATTCTATAACTCAGTGAAATATCTGGATTCAGTGGCAAAGCGTAAGACAACCTCGGATAGCCTCTTCACTGCACACTGACAATGCCCTGATAGAGGCTGAGGATGGGATCATGGTGCTAGAGCCAGATGACTCGATTTAAACACTAGCCCTACCGGATTTCTGCCTAATCTCTTTCCACCTCAGTTCCCTCCTTGCAAAAAAGAGATAAAGATAGTAATGAACTTACAGAATTATTGGAAGGATTAAAGGAGATAATGCATATCAAGTACTTAATACAATACCTGGCGCATAAGTATTCAAAAATGCTGGCTTATTGTCATCATAACTCTACCAGTGAATTTTGTAGATTAAAATTAACATAAAGCACAGCTGTCCACAGTTAAGACAGAAATAAAGCTATCTTTTCTGAAGCTTCTGTCTGAAAAGAAATGGATTTTCCTTTTGCTGCTAGAATCAAATCTACTAGTAAAAGAAAAGACGTGTAGTTCATACATTGGGACTCAGTTTGGCATCTCATGCCTGCTGATCATCACAGATAATAGCACCTGAGAGACTCTTCATTCCTCAAGAAACACAGTCTTCAATCGCTTAAACAAGTCCTCTCCACACCGCATCTCACTCTTGTTTGTCCTTATCTTCAGGACTAGGCAATTTATCCACCAAAATTTAACAAAGTTTACACAACACCTAGAAGAAGCCCCTAGTATACGGTGGTCATCATAGACCTGTACTATACTGTATTTACAAGGCATCATGGAGATCACAGTTTAGGGAACCGAGACACACAAAGAAGTCAGTGCCCATGGTCTCAGAGCTAAAAGAGCTGGGCCCAATAGGATAGGCCACTTGGAGAAGGCCTTTGCTTTGATATACAAAGCGAGCCCCCAAGAAACTTCAAATAGCTGGTAGGGTGCTGGGTGTAGGGGCACACACCTGTAATCCCAGCACCTGAAGGCTGAGGCAGGAGGATCACCAGGAGTTTGAGGCCAGCCTACACTACATGGGAGGCCCTGTTTCAAAAAACCAAAAACCAAACCTAACCAAAACAAACAACAACAGAAATCTGATAGAGTGGCTAGCAGCATCCCGAGGTCGCTTATCTGACCAGTATAGTCTAACCAGTGGAATTCTAATTTATCATGTACAACACACTCTAAACAAAAGAGATTGAAACATTGGGATATGGAGAACGTTTCTTTGGCTATTACTAGAAAGCAGAGAGGTTCTTACCCAGCCAAAACAGAATGAATCTGTTTATTTAGAATTCTTTGTGTACACTGGGGTCCCAAGGGAGGGAGGAAAGAGATTATTCACTTTGTGGGATAGTAAATGTTGGCCATTCAGCAATCCTATGCATCAGACTAATCAGCTATAATCTAACTGAAACAAAGTTATAAAGATCAAGAGAAAGTCCTAGAAACTGCAATTATGTACAATACTGTGGATAAACTCACAAATGTGCTGTCAAGTGAGAGAAACAAGACTCCAAAGAATATGGAGTGTATGAGTCTACTTAAATATGAGATGAAGCAAAACTAATTTCCATTGTGAAAAAGTCAGAAGAGTGGCTATTCTTACAGGCTTAGAAGGGGGTGACTAGGGGTGACTAGAGGGAGCATGGGGGGGGGCGTCTTCTAAGGTACTAAAATGTTCTGTTCCTTATCCAGCAGCTGGTTACACAGAGGTGTGGGGGTTCATTTTTGTGAAAACGCACTGAGTTGAGTGCACTTTTCCTCAATGAAATATATAAAAAGTCCTGTGAAATACATGAACAGTCCTATACAAGGTCTCCCTTACACCCCAGCATAAAAGGGCACCATTTAGGAAGGCCACCCTTGACGCCACAGCTGGAATACCGTTTGGGGTGGACTTGGCTTCTGGAGGTGGCAGACCCCCTGCCTCACGTGGCTGGGTACCCAGGAAGACAGGAGCACTCGCGGCTTTGATGTCTGGCTGCCTTCACCATAGACATCTGAGAGCTGCAGAAGCCAGACTTTCTCAGCTTGGACCCTCTCTAAGCTTCTAAGAGCAGGAGCAAAGAAGGCTGCCAGATTAGGTGAAGTCAACCTAGGTGAAGATCTCTTGTCAGTGTTTTCTCAGAAGAGAGAAAACGGAGGCCGGAACTACTAGCCCACCCCTTTCCTGCTTGAGATAATCTAAGTGGTTGTCAAGGTCACGAAGCTGAAGTGGTAACCAATTACTGTTGAGATTTCACCTCAATAGGTTTTAATGTTAGTTACACACAAATTACCAAGTGGTGCAGAAGAATTCAAATCAATAACAAGCAAGTGAGAGCAGATGCTGGAAACTATGGAGATGGCATAAGGCACCCTTACCCCTAAGTGAAGCGTGGCCCAGCCGCAGGGCAGCAGTGAGCTCTGGGAGGAGCTCTCTTTCTCTCCTCTATTTTCTTAGATTGTACCCTCAGTACCCCGTCTCTGAGACACAGGGAAAACCCCTTCATGAGTCACTCCACGGGACAGCCCAGGAGTTGTAACTCAGTTCTTTTTTCACAATGGTAAAAACAAAAGAAATTGAGTACCAACTCCAAGTCTAGAAAACTTACAATAAGGATTGGAAAACTGATGAAAAGTTACAGGTGCCCTGATGACAATCCTGCTTGTGAGTCTTTTCTCTCCCAGCTGCAAATCTAAACATTAAATCACTAGAAACCAATGAATTCTAAAGAGCCCTATATATCATACTCTTTCTCCCTACAACTTATGGGAAGTTTACTCATCTTTGGGAAAGTAGTTTGAGGATATCAGAGACTTAGGGTCAGGCATGGTTTATTATGTGTAATGCTTGGGGCTTTTACCACCATTTGTAACCAAACCTCATGAATCAATGGCTCCACTAAGAGTGCAAGACAAGAGGTTCCTGGATTTCCAAGAGGATGCTTCTACCACTAACAGGAAAGGTGAATTCCTTAAGATTACCGCAACTATTTTAGTTTTTCTTTGGTCAAATTGCTCAATCAATACCTGAGGAATTGTAATAACAACTGGGCTTCAGAAAGCATTGAAGGCCCCATGGGAAAGATACAGCATGAGATGAATAACCAAATTCATGATCCACCTTGGTCAAGATAAAAACCTGGAAGGAGATCTAACCAAAAACATAAACATACATGAATTTGCTCAATTCATGAAAGAAAACATGACATAATACTCAAGTTCCCTGAACCCCAAAAGCTTTGCAGATTACTTGAAGAAACACCAAAATATAGTTATTGAGATACGTAGATTATAAATAATGGCACCAGCCCTAGGGTTGTACCTTGCAAATGGTTACTTTTCAAGGGTGAATACTAATTCAGCTCAGAGAGGAAGAAAAGAATGCTAATTCAAATATTTTCTCTCTGAATATGAGTAGAAAACAGCCAGGGGAAAGCCTGTCAAGAAAGCCAATAAGATACCTATTCTCTTATTTACAAGACTGTATCACTGTTTCACCAAAAGAATATCTACATACCTTTTTAAAGAGTCTTCCTGAGTCCTCGCTGACTTGGACAAATCGAGGAATTATATTATTCAGGTAGATATCACTCAGGGTGGTGTGGTCCCTGCTCTCCCGTTTAACCTGGTTTAAAAGGAGATTCCAACAGTTGACTGGAGAGAGAACATTCTGATCTTTCCTGCAGAGAAACAGCAAGGAAAATAAAATCAATGATGGTAAGCAACCAGGGCCAACATCTGCAATTAGAGCCCATGTCACAAAACCACAGCAATCAAAGCATAACCAGAGATAAAGATATCTTCCTAAAGCCTGATCACTACGCATTTTTCTTTTCTAAAAATTCAGTGGAGAAAACAGGAAAAAATAATAACAAGGAAAGGGAAAGAAGAGGAGGAGAAGGATTATTGTTAAGTATCTACTATGTCCTAGGAACTCAGCGAAAACTTTAAATGTATTATTGTATTTAAGCACCATCATTTCATTATAATGAAGGGACTATCATTATTGCCTTTTCACTGATTAAAAAACGGAAGCTCACAGGTGTTGTAATCTGTCTGCAGCTGGTGAGGAGTCACACAGGACCAGGGAATTGGGCACTAGAACCACAGTTCTGCATTGTTTGACTTCAAAGTCCATTCCTTAGCCATTAGGTCACTTGGCTTATCTCTAGTGTTAGAGACAAAAGGTACAGATTTTATCTAAAGCCAAAAATCTCTACAGCATTAGAGACTAAATCCCCCAAAATTTTTTTTTTTGGTTGTTTTTTTTTGTACCAGGGATCAAACTCGGGTCCTTGAGCTTGTGAGGCAGGCAGCGGAGCCACTGAGCTAAATCCCCGGGCCCCTAAAAGTTTTATCTATTGTAGGATTCAATGAAGGAGACTTTGGTGACATCTGCCTTTAAAAAGGCACTGAAGGGCCAGGGATTTAGTTCAGCGGTTCTGCCATCTGCCTCGCAAGCGCAAGGACCTGAGTTCAATCCCTGGTACCAAAAAAAAAAAAAAAAAAGGCACTGAAAACTTCAGTTCTATGGAACCCATCTAAGGAGTTTTGATTTCACTCACTGAACCCACAGTCTCATATCTCATATAACTAAGATCACGAGCCATATCCGAATATACTGCATGTATTCCTAAAACATTTACGACTTGAAAACAGACAAAAGTGCTAAACTCTCAGAGTCTCATTTTAAATGAAAGGAATGTGATCTGAAAGAATTATCGTCTCAGTTCACAGTACTAATTTAAGCAGCAGAAAGTTCTGCACCTGGAATGTGGATTTCTTCAAAGACAGAAACAAAGTAGGAATCATTATGGTACTATTTATCAAGGGACACTGTGTGCTAGGGCCTTTGCACACCCCCAACTATCTGAGCAGATGGGTGCTGATGGCACATTTGAAAGATGAGGAAAGGTGGACCACAGATATGTTAACCGCTTTCCCTAGGTCACACAGCAAAACGATGGCAATGCTGGAATTCAAAGCCAGTGTAGAAGTGCAAAGAGAGTGCTCTGAGAGAATCCCAACCTGTGCCTTCTCTTTCCCAGGACCCTCCCTCCAGTCAGACTCTTAATGCACACAAAGTAGTTAACAGTGGCTTGGTTCTTGAGCCCTCACTGCCACCATCCAGTACTGGCGGTTTCCAGGCACCTGTGATTTGTAAAGCTGGAAGTTCAACTTGGAGGAGTTTTTCAATTCTGCAATAATATTAACAAATAATCACATCATACCTGCATAGGCTTTTGAACACCTCAGACCAGCAAATCAGTTACCTGACTAGCCAATCTAAGAAGCTGATTCAAGCCCATGACTACTACAATCCAAATGAGATTTCCTAAACTTGTCCCCTAAGCCCCGTACCCCACCCCAGGGACGGCACTTCTTCTATGGACAAAATCACTAACACTTATGTGCCAATCATGGTGGTAACATTATGTCCATTACCTTTGTGGGGAAATTAAAAGATTCTTATGAAAATAAAAAAATACAGTAGTGAAGAGGGATATGTGTAATTAACTCACTTCCTTAAAAGTGTTTAATATCTGAAAAAATAAAGCTAAACAGGAAACAATCTTAAATCTAAAGTGGTGAGAGATTGAAACACATATATTCAATGATATTTGTTGTTTCCATTGCAGGGAAACTTTCAAATTAATTCCAAATTAGTTTTAGTTATAATGGTCTAAAACAAAATCTAATTTATATTTCCTCAAGTGGTTTCTCTTGGCAAGATACCCAAGTCCTCAATAAGCATGAAATGTACCAGGCCACTACACATTTTTAAAAGCACAGATCTCAGAAGACCTTATATTTACAATCGGACTCCATCTGCTTCTACGGGGAGAGGATGAGTTGGTGGTCTCTATTGTGCTTTACACACAAAAATGATGCTGTAATTTAGTCCTACAAATGTGCAAAAGTTGTCTTCAATGAACACGGTATGCCATCGGATGTTTTCGTGGTTATGAGTGGTGTCATCCCAGTGTAGTGCAGGAGATGAAGGAAGACAGAATGTCAGCAGAGAGATGGACGGCTAACTCACAAAAGGATGCCACAGGTCACAGAGAAGCAGGAAAAGCAAAATCAGCCTAAGGCTACAGAAAAGGATGCAAGGGACATATCCCCAGGCACCCTCAAGAGAAAGGATAAGTGAACAAATATGGGTTAATAACAAGGATACATGGGGGCTGGTGATAGATCAAGGGCTTAGAATACCTGAGGCCCTGGGTTCCATTCATGACATCATCTAGTCTGAAAAAAAGAAGGAAGAGAGGGAGAGGAAGAAAGGAAGAGAGGGGGAGGGGGAGGGGAAGGGGAAGGGGGGGAAGGGGAGGCAGAAGTGAGAACATTTTGAAATAAAATGCCTTATTACCAATAAACTTCACCAAGAACTTATTTTGAGGTACTACAAGTACTTCTACCATATGTATTTATTCCCATCCTTACAGCAAGTAGTTGGATGGTTACTGCTGTTTTCACTAGGCATGAGCTTTTAAAACTCTATGTTAGAAACTCTGAAATCAGTAGAGAATCACATTTCAGTTAAAACAACTATCCCATCTATACAAATAATGAGCGACTCCCACATGAAAGAGCTCGGCCCCGGACCCTGTATTAGACCAACACAGTCTGCAGTGGCCTTGACACAGACTTGCCACGAGTGGTGAACTTTTCAACAGGGTGCTACTGGTGATGTTCCAATGGGTGGACTCTGCACAGGCTCATTTTTTAACCCAAGCCCTTGTGTGCTTCCTTGAATGAAGCTGTGGGGAGCGCACAACTTAGCACACAGCCGTCCAGTTCACCGCATCACAGAAGGCTGAGGGGCCTCTGCTGGGTTCATGGCAGACCTCAGCTGACTCATGAGGACCCACACTGTCACTTCAGTGTCAACTGCTGCAAAACTTCCTACACGTTGGGGCTTACCTAATTAGTGTCTAGGAAGGGGGATGGGAAAAGTGGCGAGGTAATGTCAGTGATTCAGTTTCAAGACAAAAATCTTTCTTCTTTAAACACCTTAAATTTGCATTTGTTTGGTTGGTTGGCTGGCTGGTTTTTTAAGACAGGCTCTCACTATGCAGTTCAGGCTGGTCCTGAACCTACTATAAAGGCCAAGCTACCCTCAAGCTCACGACAATCCTTCTGCCTCAGCCTCAGTGGGTCACTACACCCAGCTGAACATCTCAGTAATTTTTAAGCGGTCCTATAATTACAATAACTCATCTGTGTGAATAAGGATTATCTCGATAGTGAACAACCCAAATCAAAATCAGAAATAACTTGGATACTTAACCTGATACAAAACTGTAACTCCTATGAATAATTCTGATTTCAGTATTTTTAGTTCATGAACAGCCTTACTGTTTAATTGATTAACTCTGTAATAAGTACTCTTTATAAATTTGTTCTTTAAAAGTAGACTTACAGAGGAAAACAACCAGTTTTTTTTAATCTATTTCACGCATGGAAGTTATGCAGACTTTTTACTTTAAAAAATGAGACTGGCTTGAAAAAAAGAGCGAAGGGCTGGGGATTTAGCTCAGTGGTTTTGCCGCCTGCTTCAAAAGCGCAAGGACCTGAGTTTAATCCCCGGCCCCTCAAAAAAAAAAGCATTAAAAAAAAGAGCGAAAGATTTTAGAACCTGTTGTTTGTTTCTTCTATGGTTCCCTGTCTCTTGCTACAACTGCGCCTTTTCATACAGTATTTCAGTTCCTCTGAGACTCTATGCTTTCTCAGACATATTCTTCCTTTCAAATGAGGTGTCTGTATTAATTCATCTATTTATTTTTGGACAGTGGTCAGGCAGGAGAGGCGCAGGGAGTGTGGGAAGAGGGGAACACAAATATACTGTCCAGGCAATTTTCCCAGCCAACATGAACAAAGAAGAAACACACTTCAGGCTGGAAAATAAGCAAGCCCATGAGACGTGATTTCATAGGGAGCAGGAGAAGACTTTGCTAGAGTGGTTTCCTGCTCCAGTGGCTCTGCAGCCTTATTTTATTTGGGGCCTCAGAGCCAAAGGAACTTGGTTTGGTGAGGAGATGAAATTTGTCTTTGTATCTTTTCCATCTATCATTTGTTTGCACAGTGTCTTTTGCTCTCCCTGTCCCAAGAGCCTCAGGTTGTGTAATACTTGGGCATTTAGAGAAAAGGGTCTGCATCCCTCAGGAATGTGCTGAACAGCTGCAAACCTCCTCAAACACTAATCCCGAAAAAGCAGACAAAATATCCAGAAGTATTTTTCTTACTTAAAAATGTTTTCAGGAGGAAGATCAAGAAAACATCATACTGTACTGGAGAGGAAATGACTCAAGTCCAAAGAAAGGAGACCCAGAAAGTCACAGGCCGGCTGTGCATCTGCAGAAGGGATCATCACTACCAATGCCCTGGAAGACAAAAACCTGCACAGCTGAATCATTTGTTTCAAAGACATTAGCCCAGTTTTTCTCCTTCAATTTAGACTATTTATAGATGTTCAACAAGTTCAGCATCAAACGCTCAAGGAGACTTTTCTAAAATATCCAGGATAAAGAGCCAACTCCATAAAGTTGGCCTCTACTCTACGTTTTTTTTGTCCATATCCTCTGGGCTTGCTTTCGATATCCCATCTATAAAATGGACATGTATCCCATTGGTGTACATCTAGCTCCCTGCTATAAAATCCCACAAGTCTCCTAGCCTAAGGTGTCATTTAATTAATAACTGCTATGCTCGTGGCTCTGTAAATGGAGCGCATCGAGTGTGGCGTTAGAGGGAAGACTTCAGCCTCTGCAGTGCCATCGTGAGCCATTTCCTTCTGGGCCAAAGTCTCTTACTTGCTCACTGTCAATCCTGTTGCGTAGATCAACTGAGATGCTGGATGCAAAAGAACCACAGCTACAGGGAAGCACCATACAAATGCAAGGAAATATTATTATTTTTATTTCCAAACAAACTAGGACTCAGCTTTCATCAATTTCCAACATGCTTCTCACTCAGCCCTGGGCCAGGGCCAAGAGCACAGCCTGCTGAAAACGCACAGCCCTCAGCAAATAATGGCTGGGATAAGACAGCAGCAACAGACAATTAACAAAGCAGCTGTAAGTCTCTGGGAAGACGTGAGGGAGATACCAAGGGGAGAGCAGATTTCAACCTTCCACGTCCTTTCCCTAAGGAACAAGGTGGAAAAATCAGGCCTGCATTCCACACTGGGTACTGAGTGCTGAGGTTGACGGGAAGGAATCCAAAGGGAGCCCAGGCTGCCAGAACCTAGATTCCTCAGCAGCTTCCAGAGCCCCTGGCCCATCTCAGAATTCCTATCAGACCTGCCAGTCTCTATATAGCTGGCAAATATCAATGCATCCAAGAAGAATATAATTTCCCACTTTAAAAATAGACATATCTGTGATGACAGACAAAACCCCAAATGAGTTAAATACATCATGCAATGTATGGTATTAAGCATCTAAGTATGAAGAGGATTTAAAAACATGCTTGATTAAAAAAAGAAAAAAAGACTTCTTAGTGATGGCTGGACAGAGAACTAGTGATGAGGAGGCTGGATTTTTTTTAACCTAAATTCCCTCCTGGCACCTTGATTAAAATGAAATGAAGTGAGGCAGCCAAAGAGATTATTTTATTCAGATGAGTGTTATTAGCCTTTCTGGCTTATTTTCTCTATTATGCATTTTGCTGATGCTGACAGAAGCAGACAGGCTGCATAGAGAGGCAAAGCTGGTGGATTTATGGTCTGACAGTGCCGTGCATGCAATCAGACTCTTGCTGACCCAGATAAGCCACAGGATGGAGAGGATTTTCGGGGGAAGGTGTTAAAAGAAGGAGGGCAAAATAAAATAAAATCACTAAGGTAGGAACTGACTTGGAAAAGATTCTGCCTATAATGGTGGCTGCTGGCTGTGTGACCCAGTCGTACAGTGGTAGCCTGGAGGCGTCTTTCAAAGACAGGCGGGCAGACGGGGTAGGCACGCTTCTTAGGGCTTATCACACAGCTCTGGCTCCAGCTTTGCCAGGAATGAGATCAGAATGGAAGAGTTCAGAGATACAAAGAGAAAAGCGCCAAAAGCAAAAACAATGCATTCTATGTATGGAGAAATGAGCTTTCAAATTTCCAAGTCAGACCCACAAACTGTCCTCGGCAGCCTAGACGATGGTCAGAGGAGATGACAGCGGTGTACCCACCTTACTCAAAATAGCCTCAATTGTCCCCTATAATCAAGTCTGGAGGAAGAGCTGTATGGAAACAGGATTCTTGTGGCTCTGGATTAGTTCCACAGAGCCTGGCCACACCCTCGGGAGAACAGCAGGGCCAAGAGCAGGGAGCTCAGGAATCTGCTTTGAAGTGGAGAACTGGACACGCCCTGGGTCTGACAGCTGCTAAGCACTTAATAACAATCTCCTGGATGACTGCGGGACCAAGGTTCTTCTGAGTTATGGCGGAGAATCTGGGGTGACCTCCGAAGATGAGCCACTAGACTCTGACTGAAGTCATCTCACTTTGCCTTCCCATCCGCCACCCTCCTGGCACCCTGCTCAGAGGAAAGGAGGCAGGCAGAGGGTCTGCATGTCACTCAAGACAGCTCTGTGAAGCTCATGAACCAGTCATGGGAGAGGGGTCTAATCAAGAGGTGAATCTCTGCCATCTAGATTTCTTGCCTGGATTTCTGACATTTTACTATCTAGGCTCCTTCTTTGAGTCCTCTATCTCCTCTTATTTCATTTATTCATTCATTCAGCAAACATTAACTGAGCACCTACTGTGTGCCAGACACTGTTCTGTGTACTGGGAATAAAAGGATCACCAACTTGTTTCTGACCCGTTTCTCTGGTGTTTGCAGACCACTTGGATCCAAGACACGGCTTTCCTGCTCACGCGCTATCCATCAGCTACAACCCACACCTGACTTATCCTGGTCTTGCTGCTTGCATGTAAACTATGAAGACCTGACTTGGATAAATGAGAAGATCCACTCGCCCACCAGTTCTCCACGGCTTCTGCAGACCCTAGACTTCTTCATCCATACCCCAGGCCTTGGCACTAGCATTCTGCAAACTACAGGAAAGAATAAACAAAAAAAGGCCACTGAACTCTCCTGATGTATGCTGGGTACAATCCAAATGCTGGAGTACAAAGACTTTGCACTCAACCCCAGTTAGATCCACAGAACTAAGGACCTAGAAATCCTCTTGGATATTATAAATACCCCCTTTAAGCCCCCTAAAATAGGCTGTGATTACATCCAAAATCTGAGCTAACTAAATCATTCAATTAGGCTAAAACACCACAGAAAGGGCCAGGGATTTTAGCTCAGCAGTTCTGCCACCTGCCTCACAAGCACAAAGACCCGAGTTCGATCCCCGGTACCAGAAAAAAAAACCAAACAAACATCACAGAAAGAGGTACAGTCATAACACGGGTGTAATCGATGACCAAGAGTTACACGTTTCTGTTTAAGAGGAAATTATAACCATCTATGTTACACTGACATTTGGATCCACATATTCCATAGGAAAACTTGTGAATAATCCTACAATTATAGCCTTGGTTTTTTTCGTTCTCTAGTTAATTAAGATGACACCAGAAACCCTATAAGTAATTATAGCACATGACAAACATACAGAGGAAAAAAACCACGCAGATGTGTTAGCAGATTTTTTAAATAAATGAAACCTTGGAAGATAACTGAGCAGACAGTTTGGCTCAGTCCTGCTAATTCATTCTAGAGAAGCAAACACCTGGCCGTGCCAAAGTGGAATGATGTCACTCAGAAATCCACACTTACTTTCAGAGCAGTGAACGCTTGCTTAGGAGCCGGCATCGCCCAGGCACCAGGCAGGAGCAGAGGAGCTTGATCCATAGCCAGTAACTCTTCTGGCTGGCAATCAGTACTGGGAAGAAGGGTCTGTAGGAATCCTGAGTGCCAGCCCCTGGGACAGAGGCCCTTACAGCTCATCGCAACAGTGAGCTTGACGGCATGAAGTCTGCAGTCATCGGATTAGCTGCATGCATAACCACTTCTCATATGTTGTTTTGGTATTTATGTTGCCTTTTTTGGAAGGAAGTCTCTTGAGGACAGGTATATTTTGGAATGTTCAATGAACACCTATCACCAAGAATCAGAAATCCTGTTAAGTGCTGAGCACAGTAAGACTATGATTCACTTAATGAATAGCTAATAGTTTGCCCTCTGTCAATTTTTTTTTTTTTTTTTTTTTTTTGAGACAGAGTCTGGCTATGTAGCCCAGGCTAGTCTTGAACTCACAATGTAGCCTGGGCTGGCCTAAAACTCGAGAAAATCCTCCTGCCTCAGCCTCCTGAGTGTTGGGATTACAGGTATGCGCCACCATGCCTGGCACCTCCATCAATCTTGTATACTGCTCTAGTATGCCTGCCTGCCTGCCTGCCTGCCCCTCTCTCTCTCTCTCTTTCTCTCTCTCTCTCTCTTTCTCGAAGACTGAACCCAGGACCTTTGGACCAAGCTACATCTCAGCCCTTTTATTTATTTTATTTTTATTTGGAGACAGGGTCTCACTAAGTCACTAAGTTGCCCTGGCAGGGCTTCAACTCACAGTCCTCCTGCCTCAGCCTCCAGACTCCTGGCTTCCAGCATGGATCTTACCCTCATTCTCTAGGTGTCTGTTGGGTGCCTGTTGTCTCCTGCTCTCTTAACAACAGCCCATCATTAGCAAGGTTGCTGCACTATGGCAAAATTTTAAAGGGCTGGGTGGTGTAAAAAACGCCCTACTCAATTTCCAGGTTAGTAGGTCAAATTATTGAATTCAGGTCCTTAAGGAATCTCATCTGGATCAACAACGAACCCCAAGCAAAATGGTATTCTGTGGAAAGCACCGTAAACTATGCTTATCTCGACTAAGTCACCCACATACTCTAGACCATTATTTTCTAAGTGAGGACCGTGAGACTCCAGCACCTGAGGTCACACAGGTGGACAGTGGGGGCAGAAAAGCACCCAGGTCCTCCAACCAGCAGCCATTTCGTATTTCACAGTGGGGGCCGCTGTATTTCAATCAGAAAGCAGCGAGCATCTACAGAGACCTGGCGCTGAAAGGGTGAATTGACTACTTGGAGCCCCAGGGGTTACAGCTATTCTGAGACAACACCAAACAGGAATGGTGAGGGTCCCTGAACCCTGAGGGAGCAGAACTGCTGGAGCATGCAGACATGCTGCATGTGGTCACGCTGCATGTGGTCACACAAGAAAGGCAAGTGAAGAGGAAGAGCAGCTTGAATCCCACCCCATCCTAATTCGGGACTGGCTCTGGGTACCTACCAGAGGCCTGGCCACACCTGGCCACTCTGTAACATGACCCTTTGGTTCCTTCATGCTCGTTCTGTGGCCTCAGCCAACCCTTCTCTGCCTTAATAAGGGTCTTGCCAAACATCTGAAACAGAGAACTATCAAGGAAACTTGGGCTCTAGGCATCAACGTGGGTGTCTGGAATCACTTGGCGAAGCGAAGAGTCTCAGTTCTGATCTGGATGAGCCCAGCCACTATCTACCGCCTCCAAGCCAGTGTGTGCTGGAAGCCCCTAAGCAGCCAGGCCCTGAGCCTGTAAGGCAGGCGCTTCTCTAAGTGCGAGTCTTCCAGCCTCAGGCTCCTCACATTGGAGTCATTCTGGGGCCTTGTTGAAAATGGGGTTCCTGTGCCTCTGCCAGACTCCAATTCACCAGCAGTGGAACGATGCCCAGGAATCTATCTTTTGGATAAACATCCTAGGTAATTTTTATGCACACCAAAAATCAATGTTCTCAGAGCACTGTTTTTCAAACTGTGGGTTTCAACTCATTAGTGGAATTTCTTTAAAAATCAATTTACAACTAGCATTTCTCAAAAAATAAAATAGAAGAGTAGAACAGAATAAGAGAACGAAGTTGATTAGAAGAGGAAGAACCAAAAAACTAAATAAATAAATAAAAAAGAAGAGGAAGAACCATCGAGAAGACAGAGAATCAAACCCCAAAATTATTCTAACATTTCCCGACGCTTTTTAGTAATTTGTTTTCATGTGGTAGAAACTGGTACAATACTTAGGAAGCTTTGAGCCCATCTGTTTTTGCATTTAAGCTGCAAATAAGATTCACAACAACTGGAATGAGCAGCACTGACCAGGTTGTATGTGTGTGGAGTAAAGAGAAATGAAATGAGTGTGTGGGCGAGGAGGAAGAGGGTTACGTGGGAGGGAGGAAGGGGACTGGAAGCTTTCCCCAAACACAAAGGCGATGTCAGGGCAGAACTGCTGTAAAGGAGTATCAGAGAGGCCAAAGAACGCCAGGGAAGAAAATCAAGCAGCTGTAGCAGGGACTGCACAACGGGAGCTCGCAGAGAGCTCAGCAACGTGTCCTAAAAGCTCTGCAAGGTTGAGCAGTGTCCTGGAAACACCACCTCCAGGAGAACAGGTCAAGACCATCCGAGACCCTAAACCAAGTATTATATAGCTGATGGTAAGCAGTCGGCACGATCACAGCCTCTAGCTGACATCACAGCTGTGTTCCTGGTTCTCTAAATCAAGAGGTGAACACCCAGAATGGCCGGGAGGGCTCAAGAAGAGTCGTCTGTCTCAGGAGAAACTAGCAAGGGTCCTTATCCACAGCCCAGGGTCAGGGCTGCCCCAGGAAGAAGGGCAGATGTATACGAGATAATCCTTGGAGCCCATTTTTTTTCTGGCTTAGGACCCCATCACTGACTTCTGCGAAAGCCTTGGTGAAATCTCTGGTAAACAGCTCTCTCACTCCTCCTGAGGCTACTCAATCTCTAGTTCAGAGAAAATGTTCATGAGTGGGAAATGTCAATCAAGACCCCATTCTGGAGGGGAGAAATTAAATACAATCAGAAATATATAAATCAAATTGTATTTCAAAGAAGTAACATGACCACACTCAAGATCTGTGATTTGGGACAGGAAAACTAATCTTTGAACATTAATTTGGCCCTCAAAGCTGAAAAAAAAAAATCAGTATTAAGACTTAGTATTCTTTTTCAGAGGCATGGGTTAACACCTCTGAAACTACATTCTGTACAGTCTAGGACCAAGCACTAACTGAATATATTACAGGCGATGGAGCTAGGTTTCTCATTGTGCACAGAACAGTTACAAATATGGCAAAGGAAGAAAACTGAATAAAACATGCAGCACTAGATTGGAACTGAAGATACTGATGTGAACTCACTACTTTAAAAGAGATAAGTACGGTCTCTGAATTAATGATGGTTCAACTTAAGATCTGTTTGACTTTACAATGGTGTCAAAGTAATCAGCATTCAGTAGAAACTGTACTTCAGATTTCAACTTTGGAACTTTTCTCAGGTGAGCCACATGCGATAGGAGTCTGGTGATTCTGGACAGCAGCTGAGAGTTACAGCTCCCTGCCAGCCGTGAGATTGCAAGAGTAAACAGTCAATGCTCCATGTGTGCGGTATCGCTCAGATGTGGTGATCAGTAGGTTAGATGCATTAAATCCTCTCTCTCTTTCAGTACAGTTAAGTTTATTTTATCCATAGCTCTTCCAGTATAAATTGTTTGTAAATGCTGAACATCATGGCTTCCAGTCCATCCTCCATGAACTTCTTATAAAGTGCCATAAATTTGGTCAAAATGCTTCCATGTGATAGAGAGCTTTGCTTCCCAGCTGTAGACAATGTTCATAATAGGCTGCCCTCCGAGCCCATTCCCTCCCCTCTCCTCCCTCTCTTCCTCCCTTTCTCACTCCCTTTGACACAGGTCTCATTATGCAGCCCAGGCTGGCCTCCAATTCCCAATCCTCCTCCCTCACCCTTCCAAGTGCTGGGATTGCAGGTGTGCACCACCACCATGCCCACCTTAAATGCATTTTTGACTTAGGATATTTTCAATTCACCATAGGTTTATCAGGACCCAATCCCATCATGAGTTGAGGAGCACCTGAAATACATGAAATACAGGCGTGAGTGAGTGAGTGTGCGTGTGTGTGTGTGTGTGTGTGTGTGTACATGTCTACTACCTCTGACTACTGAGAAGGATTATAAATCATGGTATTCTAGTTACAAAGATCACACTTAGCATCCATGGCTTCTAAATATTATT